CCTGTCAGCCCTCGCCCCACGTCTTGCCGCTGTGGCTGGGGGCTGTCCTCTGTCCCGGGGCGCTCTGTGGGTTTGCCAGCGCTGGGAGCTGCCGGAAAGGGACATGGGAGATGGACGGAGCAATGGGGATGGGGGAGCAAACTCCGTCAAGGCACTTAAATGGTAGCTGCTTCAGGGCAGAGACGGTGGCTTTTTGTGGGGGGAGTTCAGGACTAGAAAACAGGGAAGAGGAAAGTCCGTCTGGAGTGGGGACAGGAGGGCTCGCATCCAGAGGACCTGTTCCTACCGTGACCCACATTTCCTTTCATTCTGAAACTGCCTCTGTCCCTGGTCTACTCTGCTCCATCCATGTGGGCCTGCTCCCTCTCCCTCCATAGAAAAACGGCAGAATAAAGACCCTCCCTGGATTTAAGGTGTAAAGAGGACAGAAATCCCCGAATACTATCATGTATATTAATGTAGTGCCTATCATCTCTGCCAGGAAGCCTGCACCCCACTTTATTCATAGCTGCATGAACAGAGAACAAGCGGGAAGTACTTGCCCCAAAGAGTTCTCAGTCTGAAGCAGTCTGAGAGTAGGATTCAGTCTAACCTGTGGCCATTTTTCTCCCATTGTCTTGCTGATGCCCTCTGCCGTATCTGTGTTCTGCTTTTCTGGTTACAGCTATGCCAGGACAGGTGTCAAAATACAGGTAGTGTATTTCCTCTTCATCACTTCTTGCTGCTGGACCCAAGGGTGCATATGTTGGCAAAGAATCATTAGCATTTAGAATTTATCACTCCTGGCCAGCCAAGAAATGATCAAAGAGTGAATCCCCCTTACAGACTGGGATGAAAAGAAAGAGTGATACATTTGTGATAAGATTTTGTTGTAGTAGCTAACGAACTATATGAATTACAGCAGCATTTTTCTGGGAATGCAGCAGGTAAAATAATAGATACATAGTATCTGATAGCAGGAAAAGAGCTTATGTCCTAGCTTTACTTTCTGATGTAGAATCCTAATTATTTATCTGTTTACTCCTGTGTCCTAAGAGTCCCTGCAAGGAGAGTTCCAAAGGAAGCTTTACAAGGAGCTGCTGAAAAATTACAACCCTCTGGAGCGACCAGTTGCAAATGATTCCCAGCCGCTCACTGTCTATTTCACTCTCAGCCTCATGCAGATCATGGATGTGGTGAGTCTGTAACCTTCTAGGAAACTTTCTTTAGAAGGGTGGATGTTTCCTTCCTAGAGTGAAGATTTGTGATAGCGAAGGAAGACTGCAAGATATTGGAAAGCACAAATAATTCAAGAGACAACGCCAAATTTTGACTGCCTTTTTAAAGAAGTAAACTTAAAAGTAAAGTTTGCCTCTTTCTTAGATCTCTTGTCAATATTTCACAAGCTTCTTAGCAGTATGAAATACTTAAAGTGAAGCTCAAACTGCATACTTTGCCTTTTGAATCCTTAACTGTTCTCAGAACCAACAAGAAGTGTAGTCTGGGGGGGGGATATGCAAAACCAAAGTTCTTGGTTTCTGGTGGTCACTAAAGAGCTTCTTATTTTTGGAGATGGGGGGGGGAGGAAGGGGGTGTCGCAGCCAAAATCCAAGTTATATTATTTCTTATCTTATTTACGCAAGATTGCTACATTCTACATGCTTAAATTTTAGCTGCTCTATTTGCAACCACAGTTGTGTGGTATATCGATAGATACCCCTGTGCAGTGCTTGGCAGGCTTGTAAAATGCACTGTAGGATCTTTTGGGTTCAAATGTGAGTAATTTAAGCTTTACTCTGTCACAGCGGCACAGAGATCAAACTTTACATGTAAGTGGGTTTACAGTATTCATTTTTACTGAATTCAACTACCTACGGCCACTAATAAAGAAGTTAATTACTTAAAACTAGTAGTTAACCTCAAAATGCCATTATCTTTCCATCAGATGCTTGAAGTTCAAGGCACAACAAAATTAAAAAAAAGAAAGAAAGATGGGATTATTCATGACAAGTGGCTTGCTTTCTGTTCCCTTACAAGCTGCCGATTGCCAAAATCCAGACACTCTTCATTTAGTATCTAAAGGTCAGCACGCACACACAGAACTCTGCAAGTTTAAATGCTCATCGTTTCTATGCACGTTTTTGCAAGTTTTAGATTTATTAGACCTAAGGTGAAAACTAGGATGTGTATTTCCAGTGTGATATTTACTATTTGCTAAAGTGAGAGTAGGCAGTCATAGTCAGTGAGTTGTTTCAGTGCCAGTGCCACTAAAGCCAACAGGCAAAATATGTCAGTTCTATCCTTGCCTATGGATAGAACTTAAGGTGTAAAGAGCACAGAAATCCCTGAATACTGCCTATGGCAGTTGAGTTTTAATGTATGTGATACCAACGAGCAGAAGAGAAGCTATATGGAGTTATATATTCTTTGAATGATGGCAAGGGAAGAATATGTGTTATGTAGAGTGCAACGATTTCAAAAGGTGCTGGCAGATTGAACTCAATGCAGACTGTGGCTGTACTGCACGGGCACCTGAGAGCTAGGAGAGGACAGCCAGGCATTAGACCAAAACTTTGACGTGAGACAAAAGCCTGTACCAGTGAGCTGATATAACAGATGACACTAACATCCCACCGTGTGTGGGCATGCTTTTGCTATTAATGATGTTTATTATGGGTGGGCTTAGAGATTTTGAAAAAAGGGGATCTCCTCATGCTGAACACTCTGCAGACACAAGTAGTAGTTGACTCCTGGCACAAAGAGTCAGTCTAAATAGGCAAGTAAGCAAGAATGCCTTTGGACAATCAGAGACAACAGAGAAAGCGTAGAAGCAAGGAACAACACAAAAGGAATAAATTATACTGTGTTAATACGGCATATATTAATTTCAGCATTCATCTGCTAATTGGATTCCTTTAGAATGTGTCAAGGTAACACAAAGAAAGAGGCACTCAAAGGGCAGTGAGAGTCATGAGGACAGGGCAGGTCAGAGGAAAGTAAGAGAAGGAAGCTGAAGTGAAGAGAACAAAGGGCAGCATGGGACAGACAGTGCTTCAAACGTCTGATGCCTGAAGGTCCCCATCTGGGCTACTGCTGCATCTATTCTTGCTGGCTCAAACCTTCATGGGTCTCTTGCCATGTACGGCAGGGAATATGGAGAACAGGGCAGAAATAACCATTCGGTTCTCTTGGCCCCATATTGTCTGTGTGATGGAGCTTTGGTCTAGCTCCTCCTTCCAGTGCATCAGGCCCCTTAGTGGCTTCTGCAGCAGCTCCTACTGGCTAGAGTCTTCAGTTGTAGCTATACATTGTGTGTATCTCTGGTTTTAGTTAGATTTTTATCTTTGGTAGCAGTAGGTCGATATGTTCAGGAAAGCTTAGCCAGTCTGTTCAAGGCCTGTTGAAATGGAGCACCTGAACAAAATTCCACATTTTAATGTGTCTCTGCAGAACTCAGCACAGTACATGGTGCTTCAACTGAGTGTTAAACCAGGCTTCAATAAAACCCCTTCCCAACCATGGACTTAAGTTTACAAGGCCTTCTTCTGTACCTCCTTTTTGGGAAATGACCCCCTGCTGCAGTATATGCCTTCTCACAGCTACTGAAGAAACTTCTGCTTTGGTACAGGACAGTACAGTTCCCTTCAAAGGATTTTTGTACAACTCTTTTTGTACAACTGTGTGTTCAGGAAACATTTCCCTAGCGCTTGGTTTGTTTTGATAACCAGGATAAAAACCCTGATGCTGTGGGGTTTTTGTTGTTTGTTTGGTTTTGTTATTGTTAGCACTACACTACATAAAATTCATTTCAGAATTATTTCAGAACAGGAGAGCTCAAAAAAGCACTGTGATCCAAAATAAAACAGAGCTGTGAACAGACCAATTTTTTCCCTGGCTTTCAGAAATCACACTTCTGGTGTCATTCTATATAGACACATTTGGCCTGAATATGTTAAGCTAATGTGTTCTTAAGTATTAACCACCCTGGGAAAGGTTTGTTGTACGGCTAAACCCTCCCAGTGATGACACAGCTTACAGAAACCTTCTTTACGTCATCAAAAATGTTTCCTGAATAGAATAAGCTGAATGCCCACGAGACTTCTTTCCTACTTAAATTGCATCTATACTATAAAGGTTTCCATTGCATTTCTACGAGTTAATAGTGGGGCACTCTCTTCCCCACACTCCTGACATGGCTAGAACCATGTCCTTGACTACTGTAAGAAGAGTTGGCTGTTGGAGACACAAATGGCTAAAGGCCAGCAGGCAGTCAACTTCACAGAGTTAATTTCTTCTGGAGTTGTCAAGTTTAATTAAAAACCATACAAACTGAAAGGCAAGTATCCACAGATCACTAGCCAGTCTGGGTATAGTCAATAACTGGCAGTCTTGGCTAATATGATTCAAAAGGGAGTTTTTGATCCTGTGTGCCTTTCAAAAAAATCCCTTCACAATCAGTAAGAAGCCATAGTTTTTGCACTGGCAGTTTAGTTACAGCTTATTCTGCTTGCTATAAAACTGACTGCACTTCTTTCTCAGAGATCTGGGATTGACAGGCAAAGAAAGAAACCAACCATGAAGTAAATTAAGCTTCACACTATAAAAAAAAAGAGTTTTATTCATTGTCAACAAGAAGCAAATGCTGGTGGGAATGACAGCTACTTGCAATAACAATTACTGGTTTAACAAGCTAGAAACAAAACATGTCACCATCATACTTTCCTGTAGTTTATATATTCACTTTAATGGCTTCTCAGCTGATACAAGCTGTACTGGGAGTTGGACCTATCCAGAGCAGATCTGTCAAATCCCTGCCAGAATAGATTGAGCCAGGCTGGATCCTGGCTGCTGCTATTCCTTACTTGAAGTCTCTTCCATTCCACTCTGACTTTCCTGATAGGAAAGGGGAGCCAGTATATGAAACCTCTTCCAAATACAGTGGGTGTTTCCTACCTTACATTTTTGGTTTAACCCTTTCCTTCTAAAATTAGCAATTATTTCTATCCTATGCTTGCAGCTATGTTTTTCTTTTTATGGGTATTGCATATTAATATACATGCTAGTATCAGGACTACATAATGAGGGACCTGTAAGTGCCAATTGCCCCAGCTTAGTTTAGTCCACTAGCAAATAGAGTTAATGAAGTGTCTAATGAGAATGCAAGCTGGCATAGTAGATTATACAAAGTGTTGCTAAATGGGGAAGGAAAACAGTGGCAGCATGAGAAAAATGTCTGGGGACACATGAATGAGGAGGAGAGCTAGGAAACTGAGGGAGTGCTTAGAGGAGAAGTGGGAATGCATGGTAGACCTCAGAGACCGCAAAGGAGCTTGGAAGAAAGGTGGAATTTAGGTGGAAGAGGATGGGGGATGAAATGGAAAGAAAGAGGTTTGAAAGGAGTGGATTTAAAAAAAGCTTCTGTGTCAAGTTAATAAGAAGTTTCAAGAGAGAGATCCTAGGTATCTTTCAGTTCACTTTATTCCTATATTCCTTAATAGAAAAAATCACTGCTCTTAAACCTTTGCAAACAATCTTGCAATTAAATCATCCTGAAGTGAAAACAAAGTGGAGACAGCCAACTGGCCAGAAGTGCTCTTCAAGGACATTTGAGTTATTATAATATCAGAAGATGGAATAAGAGGTTTCTTTTGCTTTTTATAATTATTTGTTTCCATTTTCTTGAAATGAGAAATGTCAAGCAATTTGATGAAAGAAATGAAAAATAACCTACTTCCTCTCTGATTTGCTGAAATCTTGTGTCAAAACTCCTTGCAGGAAACCAATGTATATTGAACAAATAGACTGATAATAAAATTCAGATCTCTGGATCTGAATTGGAAAATATTTGGAAATATCTGACTTAAGGAAACTAAACACAATTTAAGAATAAGCACAGAAGGAAAATCTTAACAGACAAATACTAAGGGTATCTGCATACCTTAGTGGGAGGAGAGGAAGAGGAGTTAATGGATGGTCATAGTTGGTCAAGGTCATAGCTTGGCCAGCAGGAGCAGGGAAGTGATCGTGCCCCTGTACTCAGCACTGGTGCGGCCGCATATGATTCTATGATTCGTGGGCATGGTGTTGTTGGGTTGATGGTTGGACTCGATGATCTTGGAGGTCTCTTCCAACCTTTAATGATTCTATGATTCTATGATTCAGTACAATGTCAAAAAATAAGGAACATGATGTAGAG